ACTTGCCTACAGACTCACACAGCCTGCGCGCGCACAGAAACGACCACCAAAAGCGAGGTCCCCTATCTCGAACGCTCTCCCTTCCCGCTGCAAAGCGCCAACGTTAGATAACGCCGCAGGGAGAGAGAGAACAATGACCGGGGAGGAGCAGAGACGAAGGAAAAGGAACTATCTGAGTTAATGCGCGTACGCGTACCCGTTCTTGGTCACAGCCGCATTCTGGAGAGCCGTCGGCCATCAGGAGAATTGGGCCAGAAGTAGGGGGTCCCCACTACGAGGACAACAACAAACTCTTCTCTCTGAAGAATGCTTCTCATTGCCCTGTAGTATGGCAGGGAGGGGGGCTGTTGGTTGAGGCGTACCAGGGATGAAATCAGTGGCTGACGGAGGTTGCGACGTTTGGGACGCGCTGTGACATTTCGGCAGAGGCAACCGAAAGGAAATGACATAGTTCCTGTCGAGGTCTTCACCTCAGCTGCCTTTGTCATCACAATCAATGCGGTAGAGCTAGCAACAACAGCGAGGTGAATGAAGGCTGACATGGCTGTCGTCTTCCGCAGACCAGAGAAATAAGAGGTCCAACACGGACCAAGAAGTCGGTAGGGGGTACCTACCTTTTCGTTGTCTGCCTGCGTAATCCCGCCAGTCCCCACAACTCGCTGAATTTGTTTTCTGCGGACCTAAGCCGAATTTCTGAGTGTAGATATAACTTGAGAAGGGAAGATATTTTAAATGGCAGTTGTATTTAAGGTATAGGGCCTTCGGCAGCGATAAGCACATGAAGTTAGCGGGCCTTTATGGTTTTTTTGAGGTTCTGCAGTATCAGACAGTCGTAACGTATTTCAAGGGAGTGTTGCCCGCAATACGTTTAGTTGCTTACAAAGAGACAATACGTTAGCACGTCGCAAATCTCTTCTGCTTAAACACACCTTATTCAAAACCGACAGAAATAGCTTTTCTGTTTCTTAGCAGTAGTCGTTGTAAAGAACTTCGCAAGAAAATGAGGAACAGGCAGATTGCAACGAATTCGTCTGACTAGAAAACAATGTCTTTCTTTGTGTCATCCTCCAGTTTAATGTCCCACTACCGCGTCTTCACCCGCAACGAATCATGCATTCATGATTCACAGAAATCCGGACAGCGTCAATAGTTTACTACGCGATTTCAAATCCCGCCGAACGCCTCGAGTTTTTTCACAATTGGGTCAACTCGAATATTACTTTATCAGACTGCCATCCTCAAAGAGGCCCAGAATAATTCTGAATGAAAAGCAAAAATCAAAGTTTAACTAGATATTTAAACGCTTATCTTTTCCTGGTGCTGTCTTGCCACTGATCTCCGATGGGTAAAGGATGAGAAGTTGACTACTGTATTATCCGGACATCAGGTACCTCCAATAAACCACCAACTACTCACTTTGTACCCACAGTCTAGCCGATTACTTCTGTCTGTTAGAAAACGTGCTTGACCATTAAAATGACAAGCTTATTTTCACTACCTGAGGAATCGCAACCATTTGAATGATCCGAAAAGAATCAGAATGACGTACACAGTACTTGAAATTGGTCTTCAAAAACGGAACCCTAGGCTGAATTCCATCCTTTTCCGGAATAATTGCCGTCCTGTTAAGTGTCTTATCCATCCTAAAAGGAGAGCAAAGTTTACATGTCATCGGCTGGATAGAACTCACAGCAGAAAATTGAACTTTTTCGCGCATTCTCAGGCATATTTTTGTCCTTGTCATTTGGAAGAACAGAGGTTGATAATACCATACGAGGTCGCTCGTTTGTAGAAATTGCTTGATAGTGCAACCGGTATTATATATGCTCGCTAGTAAACTGTATATACCCTGAATGTGAATTCAAATGCTTAGCAAAATTTCCGCCAGCAGTTGTTGTCAGTTGATGAGCCCACAGGCGACTTCCAAGGGAAAAACGGGAGAATGTGTTTAGTGACTTTCTGACTAATGGAAGGCTATTACTAAGAAATATTGTACTCCGGAGGCTACAGTGGTGATTTTCTGAATCAGAAAATATCCCAAAATCGATGAATAATTCAATATAACTCAGCTATGTGTAACCCTGCTAGAAGTGACCTTAACTAATGTTAACCGGTGGTTAACGAGTCGTCACTGGGATGGACTTGATGCACGGTAAGTTGTGTTTTCTCGACCCTCCTCCCCTCAGAGTCACCTGAATGCGATGAGTTATTGAAAACCGGCCGTCTTTTCAAGATGATAAATTGGTTAGTAGTAAAACGAGAGTACGCATTACAGTCTGTGATAAACGGGGCGTTAAATGATGTGTTACACACTTCCGGTTCTCGCGAACGTCCGTTTGTCGACGATGTTTCACAGCTAGACGGGAGAGGTTGCGGTAACCAAGAGTGAGAATGTCAAAAGGTGGAAATTCAGTGCGCACTGACTGTAAGGTTCTCTATTCTAAGCCATAGGTCCTCAGAAAACGTCAGAAAATCATGAATTTTTAAACGAGTAAGGCCTTTATCAAACAGGATCCATGAAAAGACTGCCCTATCCAAGCACTTTTTGATGCCAATTATCTTGACTAACGTTCATCCTAATTTAGTCCACAGTTTGAATTTACAAGAAATATGAAGACAAAAACAAAGAACCTATAATTGACTTATGATAAAAAGTTTAAAAAATATCGGACAAAGGTAGTCAAGATTTCTTCCAGCATTTTTTGAATACTGACTCTGATGAAATTGGTAACTTCCTTTAGAACTTTATACAATCAAAAACATCACTTTCGTACGCAATATTCATTAAAATCCAACTCTGGTTAACTATTATAGAATATGTAACTTCTTTCTATACACAAATTTCTATGCAATATGCCTAGATGGTTCGCATGGTGAAAGCTTTGAACCAACACATGCCTAGATGAAGGCAAGACAGGCGTAATTCGGGATGCGCTCCCAGTACAAATGCCGCATATGGATGGGAGTGTGTTGGCGCGTCTAGGTGCGGGCTCACGCCGCGCCGAGCACCTGCGTCCGATTCCGCCTCTGGTCTTC